TTGAGCTGGGGAGTTGGACCAGATGACTTCCAGAGGTCCCTTCCAACCTCAAGCATTCTGTGATCTTGTAGTTGTGGTGAGATGCCTCCTCCTGCCGTATTTCTTTAACAATAAAGAAGGTGAAAATTACCATTCTGCTGCCCTTCACTACTGTTATGTCTGCCTCTGTTTATTTAGCCCTCAATATATCTTCTAAAAGTTAGGTTTAATTTATAACATTAATTTATATTAATATATAAAAGTTATTACTTCTTTTAAAAGCCATAGTTACTAGTTCTACTGTTCCTCTAGTACTGAAAGGTCTGTGAATAGTTCCTGTATTTGTGTTGCATTGCACAGTCTGCATGACTGATGCTTGCTGATACAAGTAAACAACAGCTAATATGGCAGAACACCACTGCTCTGTGGAATGTCTACTCAATTCGTAGACTCTTAGAAAACAGCTATCACTGGAGGTGAAACAAAATCAAAACTCTCTAAACATATCTAAGCTCCTAGATAAAAATTTGTATACATTGTCTGAGCAGACTTCTGGCATACTCAGATGGATAGTTCTTGGATAGTTATGAGACTTATTTTCCGTCTCATTTCTTTATTTTTTTCTTTTGCCCTTGATTGTTATCTTACCAGTACTTTGATGTGTATTTATATATAATTCCATTCATTCCTGCTTAGGGCCAAAATGTAGTTTCGAGACAGTCATGCATACTGAACAATGTACCAATCTGATCGTTATTACTGTACTAAAGTCTCCTTTGTTACAGTGCTACTCCTTTCTCTTCCCATCCAGATTCCCTTGCTTGTCTAAGTAGAAAAATGCAGATTAAGTTCCCTGCACTTGGAAATTTTGTCTCGTTTATAGACATTAAGACTTTCTTTTCTTTTTATTTTATTTTATTTTATTTTTTAAAGAATCTACCTCCAGGTAGAAGTAATGGTAATCTTTCTCTTCTGATACTGTTTTCTCTGAAATAATGTATTTGATGCTATTTATTCTCCAGAACTTACGTTTAGGTAGTGACTCGGTAGTCTAGATGTCCTGGTGGAGGTTGATAGATTGGTGAGCATACTCATGTTGGTTTATATCAACAGAGAATTTCTCCTGTAACATTGATTCAAGATAGATATTTTGAAGAAGATAAACTTGAAGTGTTCGTAATGTTTCTTCTTTCTTTAACTGCTTTTTTAGGTGCAATTTTTAAAAAGTGAACTCTCATGCCAACTTTGGAAGAGTTTTTGCAAGTATTGTGTGGTTTTTCCTCCTCTTTCTTCCTGCCACAAGTTATCAAACCATTAATGGCCATTTGTGCTGAAATAGTCTATTAGTTACAGTAAACTTGCTTGCTGTGAGCTGGGCTGTATTAATTATATCTAACAGCCAAATGTGGGGGGTTTTATATTTGTTTTGTAGTTCAGTTCTCCTCACGGTTCCTTGGGGACTGCAAACTAAGAATATGTATAACCGTACAGATTGTTCTAGTTGCTAAAGAGCATTTCCTTATTCCTGTAAGGACGCGTTGTGGGAGCAGCTCTGAGTTGATTGAAGGGCAAATTTTAGGCAGAACAAAAGTCATCCATCTAATGCCAGGAGAGCGTCCTTCTCAGATAGATGCTATTGGAATCAAAAAATGTTCTTCTGAGAATTAGAAGTTTGAAGGCCACAATCAGAAAAGTGGCCACCAAGTTTCTGCAAACAAGCTGACTAGTTTAAAAATAAAAATCCCAGGAGCATCAGTAAGTTGACCAGTGACAGTGTCTGGTCTTGCAAAATTACACCTAATGTTATCGTTTCATCTATAATGTGCTACCCTGGGGACATGTTTTTGTATCTCAGGATTAATAGGCTTGCTACTGCATAATCAGTGAACTTGCTGCAGTGAGAGCCTTGGAATAAGAATTGCATTTGAGTTCATCCCAATAGCGCAAGAGAGTAGAACACCTAAAAGTGACCCATGTATGTAAAGATATTTAGAATGGCTTTTGCTTAACATTACGGAATGCTGTCCCTTTGGCGAAATGACTTAGAGGTACAATTTCTTGAATTTTGCTGTCTTAAGAAGTAGATGTTGGTTTAAATGAAATCTGAGAAGTTTATCGATGTTAGTGTACCAATTTTTAATGTCTTGAAAAGTTTGAAAATGTATACTCTAAATAAATCTCTTTCCAGGCAGAGTATATGCTTTTCCTGCAGTAGTGAAACATGAACAGATGTACTTTGCTATTCTAAGCCGAATTCCTTGAAAAATTTATTCAAAACCCAAGTTTGTAAATTATGCTGGTATAAAGTTGGGTTAGTGGATCACATAGTTTCCTTACCCCTGAAGAAAGTACCTGTGCAGCACAGTTCATTTTATTAGGTTAAAACTTGCAGCACTATTGAACCTTGTGATGCTTGCTAGTATAAAGCAAGGAGGTGTTTTTGTTGGGCACAGGACTGGTAACCAGGGGATGAAGCTCTGTTCTTGCCTCAGGCTCCAAGCCTTCCTGTATGACCTGGAGAAAATAATTTAGTCTTCTTGAGGCCTTATGTTCTGCACCTGTAAACAGGATAAAACTTCTGCAAGTACTTGCCAATGAGGCCTTTTATTTCCTGAGCATTGTCATGATGCTTTGGGAACCTGAAAATGGAGCTACCAGATAAAGGCACCGGTCAGATTGGAAAGTGCAATTTTGAAAAGCCTCTTGAATTTTGGAGTCCTATTTCCTTAATATATCCATCATCAAACATAAATGTGGGTTGTTTGGTTTTTTTGTTTTGGTTTGGGTTTTTTTTGGTTGTTTGGTTGTTTGGGGGTTTTTTTGTGTTTTTCTCCCTGGTTTACTTTTCAGCTTTCATTTCTTATTCCTCAGGAAAATCTCCTAAAACTGGTCCAAGTGTTTCTGCTAATTACTACTGCATGCCATTTTAGAAAAAAAAAAATTAAGAATAATGAAGTAGTTAGAGGAACTGGGCAGTAAAAGGGGTAGCTTTTGGACAACTCATGAAATAGTCGGTGCCTTTTAATGGTAGGGTACTTCCTCTGCTCATGAATTATTCATTTTAATGCTTTTGTTATAATGGCGACAGTGTTCAGTCTCTGAGGCAGTTCTGGATAGCCTTCCTCTGCTGAAATACCGCACAGCAGCAGCTACCATTTGTTTTATAAACTAATGCATCTAAGTCAATAACATAGTGCGTAAATGTATTTTCACGATCAAGAAAATGAGAAAAGGGGAAGAATAACAATTATAACTAAGAGGGTCTGTTTTGCTGAAGGGTTCAGTTTGTTTACTTTTCTGGGAACTATTTAGGGAAATAATTTAAAATAAATATTTTTACAGATTATTGTGTTTTGTATTAGATGCAAATTATAATGAAAACAGACATTAGTGTTTCTGCTCTGTATAGCATTGTGCAATAAAAGACGGCTTAAAAACACTCATTGTCCATAAACACACCAAGTTTTTCTTAAAACTAATGTTTAAAGGTCTCTTTGATGCAGTTTTTTAAGATGAAACATAACATAACCACATAACCCACACAGAAAATGTATCTGAGTCATGTGCGTACAGAAATAAAAGTTTCTTTGTGGTATCTAGTATCAGTCTTTCATTAAAGCATGGACTTTCCTGAAGAGAAATTCCAGTGCAGACAGTTAAGGGTTCTCCTCCCTCTCCTCCCCCCCCCCCCCCCCCACCGCCTCCCTACACTTTTCTGACGCTGATTTAAGCCCCTGAGCCTTGCAGGGTGCATTCGGGACGGTCCCCGTGCAGAGCAGGGAATTCAGGGCTGGGGACTCCGTGGTACTGGTCTCAGTGGACAGAAGCATGTGCTCCAGTACAGCACGCTCGCTCTCTCGGATGTGATTTAAAAAGGGGTGTTTTCTCCTAAGCCATATATGTACTCCTAAAATGCCTTCAAGCAATAGATAAGTGCGCGTGGGGGACGGAAGCAGTGGGCAGATAGATGAGCGATTAGGTCATTTGGATTAGGACCGAGGGGTTTTTATGCTGAGCTCTCTTCTCATTCCCTGCTGATCAGATTCTTCGCATACACGGAGGGTCGAAACTGCGTAAGTAGAGGAAAGAAAACTCCACAGATGGATATAGTTGCAGAACTATAGGGAGCACTGAAGAAGAGAAAAGTCTGAATTGAAAGTATATGTGGTTTCGGGGAATCTGAATCATGCAGTATTACTTTCACTTTTTCTAGGCTTGTATTTCCTACGAACAAACCATTGGGGAGATAGAAGTTCTGATTTAGATAATGTCTTGCAGTCTTTGGAATAACTCATTCTGCTGCAGGGGGAGTCCTTTTGGCAAAGGTCACGCTCCGTGAGCGGTGAGCTTTCCCCGCTGCCCACATTCACATTGTTTCTGCTGGGAATGTCAACTTCGGGCCTTTTCCTGCGAATTTTTCATGTATTTAGGTGGTTGCCCCACGTAAAATGGAAGCACTGATAGGAACCCCTCCTTTCCTTTTTCCTGTAGCTCTGCTCAGACCATTCTCTGTTAGCATGGTAGTGGTACAAAGTGTGTGGTCTTTCAGCTCTGACTAATGCATTTTGTGCTGTGTGACTGAAAATGCCTCGTAGTCTGCCAGGGCTGACTGAGGGTTGTGGAATGTGGTGCCTTTTCTCTGTTTCTCTCTGATTTTTTTTTTTTTTTTTTTTTTTTTCAGTAGAAGTGTGTAGGCAGCTTGTTGAGAAACCTCGAGATGCAGGGGAAATGCTTGTACGTTGTGGAATGCGGCTTCCCCTGGGAGACCCCGGCCAGGCGGGCAGTGAATGAGCAGAGTGGAAGAATGAGAAAGGGAGGAGGTTGGAGGCAGGGACAGATAGGAAAGAGTGAGAGAGGAGGAAGGAAGGAGGTGGAAACAGAGGGGCCCATTTCCCTTTTTCTGAAGCAATGACAGCTGGTTCTGTCCTGCCTCACATGACAAAGTGCTATGGAGGGGAGTATTTAAGCTGGAAGCCAGCGAGCAAGGGTGGTCAGCTGATTTTATTTTATTTTTTTTCCAGGCTTTAGTCAGGTGATCGCTGATGACTAGTCAGCCCACCAAGAAGGGATTTCAGCATACAGGTAAGAGAGAAGCTGTATGCTCTTACATGCAACTGGGGGGTCTGTGGAGGGAGGGGGGGGATGTAAACAGCCCTAACATTGTTTGAATAGTTTAAAAAAATATAGATATTCCTGACTTGCTTGAGTGTGTAACACAGCAATTGTCGCTTTCAATGTTGCTACTTTTGCTATTGTCTTATTCTCGCATTTTTGTTTTGTTTTGGGTTGTGTTTTTTTTTTGTTTTGTTTTGTTTTTTTTTAAATCTGTCTTTAATTAGAAGCTTTATTAGAAAAAAAAAGACCAATTGTGTGTTGCTAAATATAGTCCTGGGTATTGCATGATTGTTGCATTCTGTTACTTTTTGAATAAAATAACTTTCCATAATGCAAGTGTGTCAAACTCATATTTAGAGGGGAATTCCCAAATACTTAAACTATGAGTCATAAAAAGTTAAAGGACCAGTACAACAGTTCAGGATAAAAACTCTGTTCAGACTTGGGTAGCTGCTTTTCTATGTGATGGTAGTTAATATGTCTTCAAAAAACCCAGAGATGTGCAAAAACTGAAGCAGTTACAACTCTGCTTGTCCGTAACCCAAAACATACATAGCAGAGGCTCAACAGATAACTGGGGAGGAGGACTGTTCGAGCGCTCTTGGTTTCATGCATCTTTTCTTTCATTGTTTGTATCTAAGGACCTGGTAAAAGAGTCTTCTCATGCTGAGGGTACTTCAAAGGGCTCTGGCTCCCTAATTCCTTATTATATAATGTCTTAGTAAACAAAACAGAAAACTAGAATTAGGTACACTTATTAAATGTGAAAAATTACAAAATAAAAATAACTAGTGAGTGTGATAGATGAAAGTGGCTTTCAGCTTGTTGTATGCATGGCTACTGTGCCACACTCCTTGCTTTTTAAACATAACTATGTAATGTGTTCTTCCTCACCATTGCTTCACTTTACTGAAAGATCTCAGATACTCTCTGAAATTTTGAATGATTCGTATTAAAAGATACATTCAAGAATTTTTAAGATGAAAAGGACAACTGTTCCCAGCTCCCACCTGTAGCTCTGAAAAACTCCTTGAGCTCTAGCGTTGAAGACAACTTTATTTTGAAAAGCTGTCATACAGTTTTCCGTATTTTACTGGTAACCTTATTCCTGTCTTATTTTGCAGCATTTAAATAAAAGCTATTTGAGACGTGCTTTTTCCTATCAGTATATGCAGTATTTCATAAGATGCTGATGCTGTGCACAAGAAGAGGGATAAAGATGCGCGACTTTCCTATTACTTTTAATTTTGTGATGTTTCTCTTTTCTCATTCTTAAAAATGTTTCTACTCATGACAGACTGGCTGTGGGATGTTAGTATTGTCCTATAACAACAGCTGATGCTGAGATGCTCAGATGTACTGAGATTTAACTGGGGGGAAGGAGACCCTGGAATGGGGTAGCAGGATAAGTGGAGGACTGTTTCTGTTGACATCAGTGGACCTTTATCACACGCAAGCCTGAGGAAACACCCAGCTTCAAGTGACAGACTGGGAGGATAACTGCAAGAAGCATGGGAAGCGTCAAAGATGTTCAGAGTCCTAACAGTGCATTTACTGCAAGGGACAAGAGCTGTGAAGTTGGCGTTCTTATTAGATCATGGCACAGGGAGCATTCTTAGGTTTCCAATACTCTTTGGCAATAGTTCTCTACTAAAGGATTTTAAGACATATTTTTCCCTTTTTATGGGATAAGCATTTCATGAGGTGAGGAAAGATTAGTGAAGTGAAACAGTGTCAGGCAATAATGACTCTGGTTAGCAGAGATTGCTCTGAAGAGACAGATCTACCTGCCATGAGGGCCAACAGTAAAGCACTTGCTCTTCAGTGTTCCCCTTCTCAGTGAGAATCGGGAATTGTGTAGCCTTGGGGCTCTGGAGAAACTAGGTATCAATTCTGAAAGCACCCCAAGTTGCTGTAAGCCATTCCCCATTGGCTTCATCTTAAGGAAAGTGATCTTTTATGAACGGATGCAAGTCTTCTTAAGTTTCTTGCAGTTGTCCTTGGGGGAATTCCTGGCGGGTGGGCTTGCCGGGGCTGTGCGTGGAGAAGTGCTGTCGGTGCACGCGCGGCAGCTCGTGTCCGTACATACGGGCGCTGCTGTGGTGCGAGGGAGGCTCGGACGTGGAAAAAGGGAATGCGTAAACAGAAAACTCTTCCAGAGAGTATTGATTTCTTTTCTTCATTTTTATCTATTCTTTTTTTGTTGTTGCTGTGTGTGGGTTGGTTGTTTTTTTTTTTATTTCATCTACAGGGTTTTCTTTAATTTATTGGTTGTCTATGAGCACTAGCATCTTTTAAACTCCTGGCAAGTTCAAATATGTCTCAAAGTAGGAGATATTTTAATTTCAGGTATATTTCTGCCTTTTTGTTTGTGTTTTTAATATCTTTGCATCTGAAGAGGGGGGTTGGTTTGAAATATTTCACGTGCAGTTCCTAGTTATCCACTTATTGATGTGAGAATATCTCTTTCAAATAACTTCTGACTTGTGATCACTTTAGGTCATGTTTATTTAACCCTGGCATTGCCTAATGATCATGATTGCCTTGAAGCTAAGTCGGAAAAAAAAAAAACAACAAAACTTGCCTGCAAATAAGGAGCTGATTCTGTGTATATGGCATTATAAAGGAGAACATCTGCAGTATTCAATTTTCCTTAGAGAAGTGGAAGAATTAAGAGTTCAACAGCTGTACTGAGTAAACTTGCAAGAACATGAGCTCTTAACACCTTTAAATTCAGAGACACTTTCATAAATCAGTTTAAGAACATCAGGAATAATCTCAAGGAAGAATAGCTGAATCACGTTATTTTAATGGCCTATTTATTATAACGAAGTGGTTTACTATACATTTTCTCATAGTTTGTTTTTATTAACTTTGGAGAGTGAAGACCACAGATTGTTCATTTGTTTGTTTTCTTTTTTGTTACTAGATAAAGGACAGACCCTGCTGTTACTCATTTTAGTAAGATCTCGATACATGTATTTCAGGGTTTAATTTGACAGCAAAACAGTCATTACTTGTGTTATATGCCACTCCTATTTCAGTCAGACAGCATTTTAGTTGTTTAAAACCAAAACTCTTCTTTCCTAGTTATGAGCAGACTTATGAGCCCAGACACCAGAAATCTGGAATAGGATTTTCCACTTCTGAGGAACTAAGAAGCTTAGACCTTTTTGGTATTATTCACATGAATCTCTTAAGGCTTCAGTTGCATACTAAAACTCAAATAACCTCGTGAATTTTTACTATCGCCAGGCAAAATCCTTCTTGTGTCTTTAAGATCCTCTTAGACGTATTACTGGATAGTTTATTGCGCCGTTTTAATTTTAAAGTAGGCCGAAGGCTTACTGCTTTAAGTCGCTGTTATTACAGCAAACTGAGTAGGGCAATTATTGGCTTTCCCTAATGGCCCCGAGGCTCCCGCAGCGCTCGCCCGACCCCGGGGCTTGAGGCGGGGCCGGGGCTTCGCCACCCGGCGGAGGGTCGGCGGTACTGCACCGCGCCCCTCCGCGCCCCTCCGCGCCCCTCCGCGCCCCTCCGCGCCCCTCCGCGCCCCCGCTCCGCCCCGGGCTCGGCCTCGCCCCCCGCCCCGAGCCGGCAGCTTCCCGTCCCGGCGTTGGTGGCTTTACAACTGGCGAGTCATGTGCTGGCCTTCAGGACCATCCCCCCCCCCCCCCCTTTTTTTTTTTTTTTTTTTTAATTCCCTCCCCGCCACCCCCCGAAATTTCAAAAAGGAGGCGGTTAGAGGCAGCAGCTCTGGCAAGTTCAATATTCCTCTAGCTTCTCACTTTTCCCCGGTATTTTATGCATGTTTTCTGTATTAGTGCAGATTACATGATATAATATACTGCAAGTGGGGATTGATTGTGCGCAAAGTCATACTTAGAAAAAAAATCCGCCTCAATAAAAGCCAGTATTTTTCCAAAACAATGAGAGAAGACTCTTAAGAAGTCTCTATATTTGCTGAAATGTGACATTACTGTTAGCAAACCAAATTTAGTCCTGATGCAAAAGCGTAACAGCAGAATAATTTTAATATGGCTGGGAAATGCTGTTTGTAAACTTCCCAGAATCTGTTGGACTATAGCAAAATGTTAGAAATACCTAAAGCTTCCTAAATCAGGTGTTTCATTTTAGTATTTAACATCAATATATGTGAGCTATTTCCCAAATCAGTTTGGCTTTCCCTCTTAGCAGCTGAGAAGAAAAAAAAAATTTCTCTTACGACTATATGAGTTGATAGAAGTAATAAGCTTCTAAAATAGTCATGAGCTCTGACACTTCATCACTCTTTCTGATGAATGATTATTCAGAAGTGAAAGTCCTGCCACAACATACTTATATTTCAATTGAAAGCTGTCATTGCAGCACATGCTCTAAACCTCAGTTACATGGACTGAATATCCAGTGAGTTCACCATGGGGAAGGAATAAGCAAGAAACTGTTGTGTTTGATGTTAAAATGCCTCTGTACTGTTGGAGCATCCTAAGAATAAAGTGGATACTCTCTAAAATGCAAGAGCTAGATGGAGGGAACTGCTTGCATGGGACTTGTCACTGGCAGTTTGCCATCCCCCCTCTGCCACCACATGTACCACTTTGACCAGCAATAGCAGTCTGCACTGTGCGGAAGCCGATGAGATGGATTTTTCTGAGCCTGAACACAGAAGGTGCCATAACAAGCATCATAAATGTCCCATATTATAAAATTACTAAAGACAAGGAAGTATGAAAAGAGTTAGTAAGTGATGCTAATGATGTGCAAAATTCTTCAGCAAAAGCAGGGCTTGGTACTGGCTCACGGGAAGTAAAATAAGACTGAAATGAAAAAAAAAAATGCTGCAATTTAAATGAAGCAAACTGGATCTGTTGGGTTTTTTTTTGGTTTTTTTTTTTTTTTTTTTTGTTTGTTTGGTTGGTTGGTTGGTTGGTTTTTTTTTTTTTTTTTTTTCCCCCTGTTCATTCAGA